AATATGATGGTTTTGGTTCCTGCAGTTGGATCGGTTTATACCGAATAGGTCGGCGATGGACTTTGACTATGCACATTACATGCTTACAGAAGCGAGGAAAGGTAAGGAAAATCCTGCAGCGATCTCTTCACCATCCAGAGAGGCGTACAGGAAACAGCTCGCTGAAGCCTTGAATATGAATAGGACAAGGATTCTTGCTTTCAAAAACAAGCCGCCTACCCCCACAGAGACAATTCCGAATGAGTTTGCATCAGCTGCTGCTCACCAGGCCAAACCCTCAAAACCCCGTCGGCATATTCCCCAGGTTGGTGTTGTTTCTATTGTTTTGTGGAGTTTATCCAATTGGATGAGAGAATTTTTGTAACATGAATGTTGTCTAAGAAAACCATAATTTGTATATTTATGCAGACTTCCGAGAGGACTTTAGACGCCCCTGATATTGTGGATGATTACTATTTGAACCTATTAGATTGGGGCAGCAGCAACGTTCTCTCCATTGCTCTAGGAAACACGGTGTACATGTGGGATGCATCTAATGGAGCTACATCAGAACTTGTCACAATTGATGAAGAAAATGGCCCTGTGACCAGTGTCAGATGGGCTCCGGATGGTCGCTACATTGCTGTTGGCCTGAACAACTCGGAAGTTCAGCTATGGGATTCAACAGCCAATAGACTGGTGTGTATCCTCTAATATTTTCTGATCAGTTATACAGGATTGGACTCAGACTCAAATCTAGCTGGGAGCTCTGGTCTATTTTGTCCAATCCAGTCGACCAGCTGTACACTTACTACAATTAGGTTAATATATCTTAATACTGTATAAACTTCTTATTTTGTTTATATACTTCTACTGCAGCTGAGAACTTTGAGAGGTGGCCATGGGTCACGAGTTGGTGCTTTGGACTGGAACAATCATATTTTGACTACTGGAGGCATGGATGGTCAGATCATTAACAATGATGTTAGAGTGAGGGCACACATTGTTGAAACTTATAGAGGACATCATCAAGAAGTTTGTGGCCTTAAATGGTCAGCCTCCGGCCAGCAGTTAGCAAGTGGCGGAAATGATAATCTGCTCCACGTATGGGACAGATCCATGGCTTCGTCTAATTCTCCAACACAGTGGCTTCACAGGCTCGAGGAACATACTGCTGCTGTCAAAGCACTTGCCTGGTGTCCTTTCCAGGGTAATTTACTTGCCTCGGGTGGAGGTGGAGGTGACCGGTGCATAAAATTCTGGAATACGCATACTGGTGTGTGCTTGAACTCAGTTGACACAGGATCACAGGTCTGTGCTTTATTGTGGAATAAAAATGAGCGTGAGTTGCTTAGCTCTCATGGATTTACTCAGAATCAGCTCACTCTCTGGAAATACCCCTCCATGGTCAAAACAGCCGAGCTCACTGGGCATACATCGAGAGTTCTTTTTATGGTTCAGGTACCTAGTTATATCTTATTCGAAGAGTAATGAAACTACTTCCATCTTTGAAAATCTAAAATCTGATCCTTTTCTTGTGGTTGTCTGATTTAGAGCCCGGATGGATGCACAGTTGCATCAGCTGCAGGAGATGAAACTCTGAGGTTCTGGAATGTTTTTGGGACACCTGAAGTGGCAAAACCTGCACCCAAGACAAACTCTCAGCCATTTGCTCACTTGAACAACATTCGATGATGGACATCAGATTCTTTACTGCATGAAATTCCTAAGATTTTAGAAAACAAAAATGATCAACGACCATCCTTTTTCATCATTCTTTTGTCCATAGGTACAAATTCTTAAAATACAACTGGTGTAAATGAATAGTAGTTGTATAGAATAGTAGAAGATTTTATTTCCTAAATTTGCAGATTAGTCACCAATTGTGACGAATGCCTGCACAATATGTTTTATCTTCACCAGTGTAAAAATCTGTCCCCCTTAATGTGTGGACCGTGTTTCAGCTTATTTGTTCTTTTCTTTTCCCTTTATGCTTGCATTTTTTGCTAAGCTTATGTAAATTTAAGACAACTAAAGGTGGGGGGTTTAAGACAGACCATAATTAACTTGGTCACTGAGATAACGATCTTGTCGCTTTTAATTGGACAGCTGATAAGGATCTCAAATTATTGGGAATAAGACTTAATTTGTTATTAACAGGTGGTGAACGTTAGAAAAGCAAGTTACTCTCACAGAAGTTACCTTTCTGTACTTCAAATTGAGAAATATTTATGTAAGTTTGGATACAAAAAGACACTTAAAATAAATTTAATTTATTAAACCGTAGCTAAACGTGCTCTAAGTAATTAACAGGGATGAGAAAGCCATTTGAGACTAAGTAGTGAGGCTAGATTGTACACCCATGTGGTCAAGAGTAATGTAAAAAGATCGGCATCCATTACAAGTATGACTTCTCCCGTACTTAATAGTCAAAGTTTCAATTGTTTCGGAGTTATTGTTGTCTAAATGTAAATTCTATACTCCATGACGATGTTGCGATTCCTATGCTTCCGCATTCTAACTTCAGTGCAGGATCTTGTACTCTTTAAGGGAAAGAAAAGATCAGGAATACAACTTATTGACGGAGAAGGATTTCTATCCCTTTCATAGGATAGAAAAAGGAAAATTTAGATTATTTTCCACAAAGAAAAAGTGGCTAGTTGCATTTCAAACTCAGTTCTAGATTATTTTCTACTTGTTAGTTAAACCTGCTGTCGACTGGAGAATGAGCAGACAATAACCTCTGCGAATGATGATGAGGTTTGTTGGCTTTGTGGGTCTATATTTTACTGCAACTCAAGAATGCTGGTTTGAACTAAAAAATGTACCCTCAGACACATGAATCCTTTCTACTGCAGTGGGGAAAGGGTTTTTTTGTGCGTTGGACATGTATTTACTTGGTTACTCCTGATTCAGTTTATGCAAAATTATACCATAGGCTTCAATCTCCGACTTGTGTCGAACAATATTTTGATTTGTAATCTCCCTTTTCAAAAATAAATAACCTTATTTATGTGTGTATATCTCTGTTTATTATCGTTTCATTTATCTTTTTATGGTGAATTTATGTAAATTTTATAAGTTAACCATTTTTTATTATGTTCTTGCCGCCTCGTATTATTTGTGAACATTTTTTTTTCTGTTCTTAATTTTGTGTTTCTGAATCTTATCTGCACATTTGCACTTCATTAGGAGGATTCACTCCCTGATATGTGCTTTGTATTTGTTATGTTTTTCTTTAATATGCTATATAGGATCTTGTAGTGCAGCAGAATCAATCACAAAGGCAACATAGAATGCAGAGTGATGTTTAATATGATAATATCTAAATTTTGGCAAAACATTGATCTTAAGCGCACTTAGTGTAGGACAAATTTATAGACAGGTGATCAAGATCAAGTTGTTAAATGATTTTATCTAATATTTTATTTTTGGTAGGCTCTACTGAAGTTCACAGTAGAAATATTATTTGGGAAATGCTCGTGGTCACAATTTCTTGTTTACTTGGCTTTCATATCATTTGCTTTTTTCTACCAGCGCAAGAATGTTTCATAGACATACTTGTTGCTTTGAGGATCATATTCATCCATGCAAACAATATGCTCCCATTGAGCAGCAAAATAGTGAGTGAGGGGAATTTGTTGATCATTTTTTAGATGCCAATAAATTGCCGTTTCTGTGGAAATCTAGTACAGAGAGAACCACAATCTTGTTATTTTTAATATGATCGTAGAAATTTGTGTAGAGTCATAGTCAAGTGGAAGTGGAATCGATGGAAGTAAACGTATTGGAGATCGGAGTCAAGACTCATAGTGATGGTCCGACGAAACATCGATATAGTTCTCTCTCGTACCCATCGTCGTTGACAACGGAAGAAAATCTCTATTGCTAAGACCATTCAGGGATGGTTGAAAGTCTTAGAGCTTTAACTGGAGAGAATGCTCTGTTACATGCGATTGTAGGCAATCTGAAGGTAGATTTCTACTTGAAATCTGATGAGAATAATATGGAGCCGATAATTCAAATATCAAATACTTTCAATAGTTTACCTAGTAAGCGACGACGGGATCTCTGAATCAATAAATCCATTGGATATGATATAGGCTAGTGGAAGAAGATAACTTTCATGAAGAAGGTATAACCAACGCTATCGTCGTAAACATATAAGGGCGGAAAGCCTAATCAAGTCCTCATATTTTGTTTCTCTCTATGAGGAATATTCATATGAGTTGGACAATGACGATGAAAACCTGCAATTCTCAAAGGAAATCAAAGAGATTCTGATTCCAGATAACTTCATCCTTCCCGAAATAGAGAAATACAGTGGAAAGGGCGATCCAATATACCCTATTGGTCCAGGTCATTTCAGGGCAAGCGAATCATTTATGATGAAGATGATGAACTTCAAGAGAATTATTCGATTTATGTAACTCACATGACGCAAAAGAGGCTAAAAAGGCGCACTTAAATGTCTAACATTCTATTTGATGTAGGACGGATTGGCGAAAAGGTGGCATAGTAAGATGCCACTAGGCTCAATCAGAACCTGACCACAATTGAAGCAGGCATTCCTGGGAGACTGCGCGAGAAGTAGGCCAGGGTAGGCACTAGCCACTAGGTTAAATGACACTAGACAGGATGAATGAGAATCGCGCATGTTTCAGTACTGAATTCATTGCTTGTGAAACAATATCTGACGAGAAGGCTAAGAGGATGCCATATGAAACGAGTTACTGATGGAGACGCTTTTCTTGAGAGACGTTTGTAACAAAAATTCAACGACTTAAAGTGAAATTCAAATCGACGATACAGTTAAAAATGGGAAACGGATAGAACAAGGCTGCACAGAAAAGCTAAAAGACAATGGGAAGGCTTCGATGTATGTCAAAATAGTAGTACTTTTGCTTTGATGAACATAAGGAAATAGAGCATACAATCTCGTCAGCTCCTTCACAAGCAATTGGCAAAGCATATCATCCTTCCCATGAGATTCGCAAACCAAAATTTTGCAAAACTAATTGCACAATAGGATCATGAAACAGAGGAATGCTCCGAAGTACTCGCAATGGCGAAAGTGCAAAGCCAACAAAGAGAATCAGAATGTTCCTAAGAATTAGAATCTCTCTTATTTAGGTTAAAAAGAAAGAGGACAAGGTCGAAGAACAAGGCCAATGTGTGAAGAACCACCACATGCATCTTTAAAAGCTCCAAACCACCAAGGAGAGACCATGAATGCACAAAGTGTTAAGAATAATGGCTAGCTCCATTCACCATGGAGCTATCCCCACATCAGCCTTATCTTTGTACATATCATTGATGACTCAGCTGCCTTTTTCCTTGCTGTACTAGCCGTTCCTCCTTGCTGTCCCTGGACCACTATTCAGTTATAAAAGATTCCTACATGATCCATAATTCAAGGAGCTGCCTAACAGCTATAAGTTCTAGATTATTCATTTGGCAATATGATGTATTATATATATTATCAAATCAATCAATATTAACAATGGCTTCAGCATTATCTTCTTCACTTTGATTTATAATTTTACTCAAAAGGAATTATGCCCGAGCTGTTAAAACACCTGCGTTGGAAAACTTCTGGATTCTAGGTAACCATAAAATCGTATCACTTCCAGTTATATTTAATGATGACGAACAAAGAACCATATTTCCCCATTGCGATGCATTAGTGGTGGGGGCAATAATTTTCCACAGTGGTCTTAATCGTATGCTCGTGTAATGGGAGCTCCGTGAATATTTTATTCAGAATCGTATTTGATCATATGCAGGTTGACCATCCTTAGGAACCCATGGCCAAACTTTTATATGTATTTACCACAACGATGATAGAAAGTTGGGAAGGAAAATTTGTGAACCCTCACTTAGTAAAGCGTATATGAAGCTGTAAAAGTCGAAAAATTGAAAAACTCTCCTGCCAACAAAAATAATACTGTGAATATCGGTTTGCATTCAGGAGGCTTATTCCACCAATTGTGAAAATTCTGGAAAAAGCGAGCTCATGTCCTCCAATGATGAAATCTCTATCTGCCAATTGATTAGCCCCGATTTGTTTCACATTGTTTTAACTTGAAAATGAATTTTTTTACCTTTTTTTTTTTTTCAAAAAAGTGGGACAAAGAGAGAGTGGTCAAACATTGCGGCTCACCAACTGTAGCAACAATAAAAATTCTACTTAAAATTGAAAACAAACACGGGCTAAATAAATTATAATAGTCCAATGATAGCTGAAAAGTCAGAGCTTGTTTGGTAGAACTTAAAATCCAATTAAAATTGAAAATATAGCCGTTATTGGGTCTCACTCGTCTAAAAAAGTCAACAATAACAGCTAGTTTTTCAATTTTAATCCGATTTTAATCTCTACTGAGCACGTCTTCATTATGTACTTCTTTTTGCAACAATTACATATACAATTTTATATTCCGCGTATTATATCGTTGTTGAACAAAATCGTGAAACCTTTATATGGGTAAAATGTCACTCCTGGTCAAAAGTGCTTTAGTTATCAATCGAGACTAAAAGTAAAAAAAATAATAATAATAATAAGTCAACAAACGATTCTATGCAAACCAGCCAAAAAGTTCCATTACAAAAGTAATAGAAAAGATGGAAAGATTACAAAGTAGACATGAAAAGGAAAAATACCTTTCCAAATTAACCAGTGGTTGGAGATTTTTAAA